GGACAGCGCGGACACCGTGGACACCGGACGCAGCGGGGACACCGAGGACACGGGGACCACCGGGGTCACGGACGACACCGGCCACGCCGGGGCAGCGGGGGACACCGGGACACTGCGGACACCGGGGACCCGGGGACAGTGACACCGGGGACACGGGGGACGCCGGGGACGCCGGGGGAGGGGACGTCGGGTGCCGGGAACACCGGACACCGGGGAGACCGGGGAGACCAGCGACACCGGGGAACACCGAACGACGGGGGCGATGGGAGCGGAAATGATACGGGGATGCCGGGGACACCGGGACACCGCAAACACCCCGGAGACGCCGGGGGCACCGGGGACCCGGAAGACGCCGGGGAAGCCGGGGCCGTCACAATGTTCGTACGCGCCGAGGTCTCATGGAACCTCAAGCGCTGTGAGGAGCACAGCGCAGGGTCTGGTCGAGGGCCTGAGCAGAAATGAGCAGAGAGACATGAGAAGGTAGTCTTGAAGCAAGCGGTGCGTGCCATAGTGCATGGATGTGTATCGCCCCGCTTGACCGTCGCATGTCAAGCCGTCTGCAGATTCGTAGTGCACTGCAAGAACTCTCAGGACCGTTTGCGGAGCCATGGCGCAGCCAGGGGCAGAGGGTCAGAAATTACTCGAGCTCGGACCACTCATAGATCCAGCGCGCGGGTTGCCAAGGAAGCAACCGCTCCGAGGCGCGGAACCGGCGCTGGGCGATCGAGTCCTGCTCTATCGTGATGTTGCCACGCTACAGAGGGTGCTGCAAAAGGACAAGACCATGGAAGTGCGCCACATTGCATGCTCGCCGGGCAGCACGTGGCTGGCAGCAGGAGGCGAGATCTTCGGCTGGGGCGTGGTTGGAGAATCCTTTGTACCAAGGTGCTTGGAGGAGTTCAGAGACTACGAAGGCGAGCATCGGGTAGTCGCGGAGGCGCTGCCGTACAAGCAGACGCATCTGTGGCCTGTCACGGACGCGGAGCGCCTGGCCCAGCCGGTTCCCTTCCGGCGTCTACGCGGACCGACAACATGGGTGGGATTTTGCCCGGTCGACAACAAAGTCCAAGACGCCCCGCGGCGCAGTGGGTTGACCAATGTGGGACAGAGCTGCTTCATCAATGCCGCTCTGCAGGGGCTGTATAGTTCGCGACTTTGGCGGCACATGCTGACAGAGGTAGGCAATGAGGTGGCCAGAGACCTGTGGCACGTCTGGCGTGGGATGATGGCCTCGGCCGTCACGAGGCCGGAACCCATCCTGGAGCGCTGGTATCATGGAGTGCAGGAGGACAGCTTCCAGTTCCTGCGTGGTGTAGCTGAGGATGCAGGCTTGACAGCTTTAACGCACGGGCTAGAGCAGTTCTACCTTCGTTGCGCAGACTGCAAGGAAGCGTTTCCGCACGGGCCTGCGACGGCCATGTCCGAGATGCAGATGCATTTGCCAACCGATGCCCAAGACCTGCAAGGTGTGGTGGACAACTACTTCTCTTCGATGCCGGCTCCGGAGAACGTCAAATACTGCGACCGGGAGTGGCAATGCCCGCATTGCAAGTCCATGGCTCTGCCTGCGAGAGAACTACGCATTGAAGAAGCGCCCCGGGTTCTGTTGGCTGTAGTGAAGCGGTGGCGCACAGAATTCCTCCATGGCCAGTTTGTGCAGCACAAGGATAGGCGGCCAATCGGTGTGCCGAAGATGCTGGATGTGCAAGGGAATCGCTATGCGGCGGTGGCAGCGGTGCACCACATAGGTGCGTCTGTGGATGAGGGACACTATTATGCCGCGGTGCGAGGTGAGGACGACAGCTGGCTGATCGTGAACGACAGCGTGATCACGGCAATGGAGGCGGAGAAGTTCTTGAACGTGCAAGATGCCGGCGCAATGGAAGGCGAGTTGTACTACGTGGTTCTAGAGAAAGCTTCGGGAGGTGGCTCACCGCAGCCCGCGAGCACTGAGCAGGATGCAGAGGAGCCGTCAGAAGCAGTCGAGGGAGGGGCTGCTGCGCTACTTCAGCCTGCGAGCACAGACCAGGAGGCAGCGGGACCTTTAGAAATGATGGCGGAGGGGGCTGCTCTGCCGGTGCCACCGCCTCAGCCTGCAACTACAGAGCACAGCGGAATGGAGCCATCAGAAGAGATCGAGAGGGAAGGCGCTCCAACCGGAGTCAGCTCGCCGTCGCACCCACCTCCATCTTTCATGACCAGCAGTCCTGGCCCAAGCAGGTACGCTCCTGCCGGCGAGAGCACAGGCGCACCCGCCGGTGTGCGTGGTGCCGCTGCTGTCGATGGGGTGCTGCCACCGCCTGCGAGTCCCATGCGCACTTTGAGTCATGGCCAGGACAGTGGTTCGGAAGATGCCGAAAGCTTGTTCGAGGCGGATGTAGCGGCCTTCCTAACCGCTGCGAGTACTGGGTCAATCGCAGAGGCCTTGCGAGACATGCCTGCCCAGAGTCCTTTCGTGGACAAGCTCACCTTCGAGCAATGCCTCTGTCGGCTGCAGGCAGGATTAAAGGCAGTGCGAGAAGGGACGCTTACGGCGGGGGAAGAGGTTGATGTGTTCACGCCGCTGTGGTGGCTGGCAGATTATCGATTGGCAATTTACATGGAAGCGTTTGCGCGCGTGGTTGCCCTGTCGTCAACTATGTTGTTGGAGACCTTTAAAGCTTTCGCTTCCTCACTGCTACATCGAAATTTGGCGGTGCAGTGGTCAGATTACACACTCTCGCATCGCTATTGGGCGCAAGTGGTGACCGACATAGGCACCGGAAAGTCGCCCGTGATGAAGACTGTGCGGGAAGCCTTCAAGCGTGCCGTGGCTTCTTGGCTGCTGAGCAGTGAGGGCGTATGTGTGAGAACGAGGGTGATTGTCGGGCACTTGTCAGTCATGTCTAAGGCAGAAGAGAGAGTAAGTCAGTGGCTGGCGGGGCCGGCAGAGATGGAGCACCACCTCATTACCGAGTCCACGCACGCAGCCTTCAATGCTCGACTACAGCAAGGTGACGGCCATGGGTTGNNGGGTCCGCCTTTCTTTGTCCGGAATATGCGAAATCTGGCAAGTTTACCAAGGACTCGCACATCGTGTTGACGCGTCTGCTGGAGGCCGCGCACGGGGGACGATATGATTGGGACACGCAAGCTGACGTCCTGGCAAGGCCCGTGAAGGCACGCAAGACCGCTGGTCACGAGGAGAGAGTAGACTGCGGTGTGCATTTCGAGACAACCAACATTGGCATGGTGCTCCTGCAGCAGCCGTCGGTCTTGAGCACGTGGTGGGCGCCAAGCGAGGCACGGCATAAGATTGGACTCGCGAATCGTGACTCGGCAGGTGCAAGCGCTTTGTCTCTACTTTGCAGAGGCAGGTCATTTTACATGTCTTCATCGGCAGTGCAACCTGATAACACTACAAGGCTGTGTATTTTCCGCCGGACGACGTGGCAGTCAGCTAATCTATCCGGCGGGGCTACGAGACAAGTTCGTTGAGTTCATGTCGGAGATCTTCCAGCGCATCATCGTGCACCTCGGGCACAAGGCACCCCTCTACGGTGACCAGCTTGTCTGGAAGTTAGATGGAGTTGGGCAGGCAGCACTGCTCGAGGCCCGCGGCGCGATGCACGAAGCGTCGCAAGATGCATATTACGCCGACGGCGGCACGCTCAACTCCATGTTTGAGAAGCTTTCCTATTTCTGGACACATGAAGGCAGGGGCAGCGTATGCAGGCCTAGTTCACAAGATGTTTGTCCATCGTGCGAGGAGCAAGCGTGGAGTAGGCGGCAGCATGCGAGCGCTGTGCAAGTCTCAGTCTCTGTGCCATGATGCAGGTCTTCTGACAACAGTGTGCCAAGAGGCCGTTGCATCCATCGTGGAGCAGCGGCCTTTCAGGAGCGGGTCGCGGCAGATTCCCGCCGCTGCAAGCAAGCTGGCCTTGGAATGGACGCACCGACGCCTTGCTCGAGGATTCAACATGCTGGATGTGGACATCAGTCGGGGCAGTTGGCGAGCCCGGGAAGGCGCTGCTGTGCGCCGCTCTGTCGGGCCTTTCAAGGCTGCATCTTCCCACGCGCAGGAGGTGTCCTGAACGGCAGATAGTTTTCATGCCACAGTGAAGTATAGTGCCAAGCGCTTGGAGATGTTTTGCTGCTGTTCGGGGGGCGGGGAGGGGGGGGGGAGGGTCGGCTGAGGTTGCTGTCAAGCTTCTGCGAGCCACCCCTGGCGCCATCATCTACGCGGACGTCGCGGGGCGCAACGTGCCTGTGTTTCGCAATGTGTACTCAGGTGATGCGCTGAAGCGGGAAGATGCTTACCAGAAGCTCATGGCGACGGGGCAGCATCTGGAACGCCACGGCTTCGGCGTTTTGAAGGTGCGGCCCGGCACGTGGCCTATCTTCGTCAAGCATCCGTGGGGTAGCATGTCCAAGGAGGCGCAAAACACAGCGTGCAAATGGGCAATCCCTCTGCACTTCTTCCACGGCTTCCTCGAGGATTCCGTCATGACCTTGGCAATGAGGAGAGGAATTCCTGCGCAGCCGGATGATGGGTTGCGACGCCAGAGGTCAGCAAGCAGCCAGCCGTTGCGCGGAGCGGTGGGGATTTCGTCGCAGAGCAAGCCAGACCAGCCGTCAGAGGAGGGGGCGAGTGCGAGCTACCAGCGTGGCAGAGTGCCAGACCAATCGTCAAAAGCAGATGACGTGAAAGGAATGTACAAGGAGGTGGACAGAGGGACCCTGGAGGAGGAGGAGATCCCTCGAAACATTCCGGCCGCTACCCGGGCGGCGCGGCGTCTTTGCCTAAAGGCGAAGCCTGCCTCCAATGTTACTTTCACCACGAAGCGACTCGTGAGCGAGGCTGGCCAGTCGGCGTACAAGCTCTGGGGCACCTGTGGCAACTGTCAGCCAAAATGTAGTTTCGGTGCACGTGTGACAATTTGCATCGACGGCATGGGTGAGGGGAAGTTCACCGTCAGCCACCGAGGCGAGCACGAGCAGCAAAAACTGGCGCAGGGCGGTCGCTTGTTGTCGGCAGAAGTACAGAACATCGTGAACGACGTGATCGAGGCAAAGGCTCCTATCACGACGAAAAGTCTACGGGAGGCTGCGGCGCGTGCAAACGTGGAGTTCGGCTGCGAGCCGGAGCAGTTGTACAACCTCGTCAGACGTTTGCGACAGAAGAACAAGCAGACCTCGCACGTTGCGCCCGTGGCCAGCCAAGTTTTTTTAGATGAGGTGAAGGCTTGGGAAGCGGCCCTGCCGACGGATCTCGACAACGCGGAGGATCTGTCCCGCCTCATCGTGCTGAAGTCGCCGCACGGCACCATTGTGGAAGAAGGCAGAGTGTACGTGCCCATGTCATGTCCGGGCATGCTGCTGCGGCTACGCGATGCAGCCAATCATCGGATCAGGCTCATCGTGGACATGAAGATGGGGGCCGTCGCGAACAATTATGGTGTCATCACGCTTTGCTTCGCAAGCAGCAGCGAGCGCCTGCGGAATACAAGCGCCGCCATGGTGCAGGGGCGGCGGCAGACCTATCTAGCTCACACTTGCACCGCGCAGCCTGTCATGCAAGCTATCGTGCACACCGAGAGGGAGGACAACGTAACAGCTTGCTTCGAGGACCTGCGCTGGCTGTGCCAACAAGTGGGAGGCTTCGATCTGACAGCGCAGCTCCTCCACGTACACGCTGACTTTGCACCGGGAATAGCTGCTGCGCGGCGCAACGTCTTCCCTGGCGTGCGCCTTATCGGGGACTACTTCCACTACAAGAAAGCGCTGTTCAAGAAGCTTCCGAGCAAATTTCCAAAGGCTCCACAAGGCAGCGTGAAGGCAAAGGGTAGAAAGAGGCGAGACCCCAATGTGGCGGTGGTGTCTGAATTGTCCGACTTGACCAGGTGGAGGGGGGATCTTCAAACCAGGAGCATCACAAGGGCGTACAGCATGTAGAGGGTCCTTTGGGTTCACGACGCAGGCGTCGCGCCCCTGTCTGAACAGGTGCCTGCCAACTGTGCAGCTCGCCGACGCAGTGTGGCAGGTGATCTTCGAGAACTTGCCGACGGAGGCGGCCACCTATCTACAGAAGGAATTCTTTGCGCAGTCTAGTGTGGAGGATCTGAAACGCGTCTTCAAGACCATCAAGGCCCCAGCTCGCGGGGCGCAGAAGCTGTGGCTTCCAAGCTTCTGGAGTGGCGTTTTTGGCACGTGTCCAGGCGCGGGCGGAGGAACAAACCCTCTCGAGGCGCGGCACGGATCTTGGGAGGCCGAGCTGCAGAGTCGCACCAAGGACGGCCTCGTCTCGGCTCTAGCAGGTTTGCAGCACCTATACAAGAAGTGGGTCAAGATCTTCGATTGGGGCAAGGCCATGAAAATGACGCATGCCCCCAGCGAAGGGAACGACTACCTGCTGAACAGTGGGTCGCTTCGGTCGCAGGGACGCTCTCCTGCGGTGGACTACTGGGCAAAGCGGAATGAAGGGAACTATGTGAAGTTTCACATCTGCGACTTCTGCAGCACAGGGATATTGTACATACTTGATGGGTTCCGAGGGTCGGGGATAGGTGCGGGCCAGCCAGCAAGACTGCCCCTGCTCTTAGGTACCGGCACGCCTCGAGGCCCCAACACCGAGGAGTCGGAATACACGACCTTCTGGGTGTTGGCTTCACCCACGGCCCCAGTTGACAAGGCGACAACATGAGACCAGTGAAGAGGGTGTGTCGATGCATGTGCTCCGACAGATGGGTTTGCCAAGTGCATGGGGCATGAAGAGTTTCACGTTTGAGTAGAGCACATGCGCGTGACAGCTCGGCGCAGGACCTCGCTCGTCTCCTCTGTGAGATGCTCTACCATGACGGCGCAGACCTGACGTTGCTCATGGTAAGGGCTGGCATCCTCCGGCCCAAGGAGCATGGAGGACACGAGCTGGATCAGAAGGCTCTACGAAGGTACTTCTTCGACCATGTCGTGGTTTGTGAAGGGCACTGGGTCCGGGCGTACTGGCCACGCGGGAACCGCGACCAGCCACGCCCTGTGTGCACATGCATCAACCATGTACTCCACGCAGAATGCGAGCATCAGAAGTTCGTAAGTGCGCTGAAAGGCAGACCGCCCAATCTCAGGCACGTCCCAGAAGTCAGACCCCGTGGTCGCAAGAGAAAGTTCAATCGGTAGGGCAGCACAGCTGCCGGAGGTTGGGCACGGCAAGTTATGGTGTTCACGCCGCGTACATTTCGCCACATCTCGCACATATGTTCCGGGTTGTTGCCCGCGTGCGTGGTTGAAGGTAGACCAGTAAAGCTTCGACAAGGCAGGCGTGGCTTCGTGAGCAGAGAAACCCGGAAGAAACATCAGGACACGACGAGAATTATAGGGCCCAAACCCATGCCAGCGACGTCGACGATGACGCCGACGACGATGACAACGTCGGGTGACGGACGACGAAAACACTTTCGTCGCCAACTTAGGACGATGAGGACGACGTCGGCGGCAAGGANNAGGAGGAGGAGGAGGAGGGCAAAGCTGGAGGGGCCGGGACGCCGGGACGCGTTGATCGTATATTCTTGCCGCATGTCCGCACCTGTGCTGATGCGGCTACTGCCTTGGATGCCCGACTCGGCACACAGTGTTGCCCACGCGGGCGGGTTAAGGTATGTCGGTAAAGCCTCTCAAAGGCATGCGTGGCTGAGCAGGGTGCAGGGGGAGACCACCAGGAGACAGCAACGCCCACACCCACGCCGACCATGTCGATGATGACCCCGACGACGACGACAACGTCGTGTTTCAACCATGTACTCCACGCAGAATGCGAGCATCAGAAGTTCGTAAGTGCGCTGAAAGGCAGACCGCCCAATCTCAGGCACGTCCCAGAAGTCAGACCCCGTGGTCGCAAGAGAAAGTTCAATCGGTAGGGCAGCACAGCTGCCGGAGGTTGGGCACGGCAAGTTATGGTGTTCACGCCGCGTACATTTCGCCACATCTCGCACATATGTTCCGGGTTGTTGCCCGCGTGCGTGGTTGAAGGTAGACCAGTAAAGCTTCGACAAGGCAGGCGTGGCTTCGTGAGCAGAGAAACCCGGAAGAAACATCAGGACACGACGAGAATTATAGGGCCCAAACCCATGCCAACGACGTCGACGATGACGCCGACGACGATGACAACGTCGCGTGACGATCGACGAAAACACTTTCGTCATCAACTTAGGAGGATGAGGACGACGTCGGCGGCAAGGA